AAAACGTAATCGAATGACCCTTTTCAGTAGCATTTGATTTCGCGCGAAATAGAATAGCGTAGTGGTTAAATTGGCTGTTCATTTGCCGAAATTGACCGAGAAAACCTATATTACACTCCGTGCAAGATTAATGTTTGCTTCAATCGTGATAATTTGTTTTTAAGGGTTACGAATAAATATTATGCAGGCCTATGACATTTTTCTATCGGATCACTTCAAATTTTCCTCACTTAGTTTAGTTTAAAAAAAATTCTGTTGCTTCCCTTTATTTCTTATCTTATTGGATTGTATTCGTATAAAGCCTAGTAGGCCCTATGATTTTCAAGGTTTTTTTTCCGTTTATACATGTATTCTGTTGTTGGCTTGTGGTCTGTGGGGTAAGTTAACTACCCCAGCAGAAGTTTTCCCGGCCTTGAACCCATTTACGACCTTGCTGTGATCGTGCTGGCTGTATCGAAATATGTTATTGATTTCTTCCCCTTCGCAAACATGGCTTCACAGTCATATAGTGGCCGATTCGAAGTGAATTAATTCTCTCCCAGCTGTCGTTCCCGTGGTTATTTCTTATATTCAATTTCGTTTGAAGACCTGACTTTTCAAGTTTAAGTTGAACTTGTGTCATTCGATTGAAGTGAGATTCGTATTTCCGCTTCGTTTCCGAGCATTGGTGGGACCTTTTGCGTTCAAGATGTTTTTAAAACATCCACATACCGATGCCGATACATATACGAACGAGTATGCAATTTTTATATCGTCTATACAGGGGGTGTTCGGGGCTTTGTTAAAGAAACGAGTACAAATTCTCCTCCATCCCTTGATCAGTTGTCCGGAAATTAAAAATACCTCAAGACCCAATGAATTATTGAGTTGTTTGATTTATCCTTTCCAGTGACTTCCATTTTGACTGCACACAAGTGGATGTTAGTCTACTGAAGGCAAAGTCGTATAGTGTCTCTAAAGACTTCAATACAGGTCTAGCCTTCCTGTCCTGCCATGCATGTTCTCAATTTGGATTGCCAAGCCGAACCTACCACTACGTTAGAATTCGTACAGAGGTAATTTTGTGTGACCTATAACGAATGCTGTTCCTACTCAAATCGGAGTATTTTCTCATTGTTGTCTATTTCCTGATGTATGAAGTACATGTACTCCAGAGTAAAGGGGGCGTATTCCCTCCCATCCCCACTATTTAGTTCCCTGGGAAACACTTAAGGGCGTGTCTACAATATCCAAAATGCCACCCCGAAAAATCGTAGAGCCCCTTGAGTGCCCCCCCCCCCCATCACCACTGAAACGACTCTAGTTAGTTGAACAAAATAGGTCACATCACATCTGACTGGAAAAGGTTGTACATGACTTAAATTCCGACCTCTCGGTTTTGGCATTTTTAGCAAATCGATCCTGGGTCACACTAGGGGTGGGGGTCCCTTGATAAGGAAGCCTAGTCAAGTCAAAGAGATTACATAAACAGTGAAGTTTGGTTCTCGTTATATTTCCTAAAGGTATGCTACAAATGGTTCACCCAAATAACTCAATTGCACTTTTCAACACTGGTAATTAACCTTATAACAAAATTACTTGTACGTATTTTGTCTTACAGATGCTTCATGGGAATCAGTCTGGAATCTGGCACCAAATGCACAAGAAGAGGGGAAATCAAACGCACAGGTCAGGACGTTCAGAGGAAGAGAGAAATGATCAGTTGCCATGTTGCAACATTTTGTTCGCAAACTTACCATGGGTGGACGTGATTATATTGTTGAAAGATCTAGAGAATAATGAATGCTATAGATAAACTTTGATGAGAGTAGAGTTCAAAAAGGTTTTACTCCATGTGAATCCCTAGTTTACCAAATTGAGTCACTTAAAGATTCAAGATCTATTACCCAGGCCTGATTTTACCTTGAAAAAATATTTAAATGTGTAATTACTATTTCTGTGTGATCTCCAAAGTAATAAGCCTTCAGATGCGATACACCAAACTATAATCATCCATGTGCTAGTACATGTATATCCAGTCATTAAATTAATAAAAATTGATAACATAAAAATATTATCACAGAAAATTGTTGTAACACTTAGAAAGGCCTTGTCCACTATACTAAGGTCACCAAACGCAATAATGTTCTGTATACACAATTTTGTGGAATGTGTAAACTTTTTCTTAACATCTGTACAATAGTTCTAGAAGAAAAACAAGATGTAGTTTCTTAGTTAAAACCCCGGCCTGTGTAATATTACCGGTGTAGCGTGAATATCCGACTCCATGAAATGTGGACTCATTGGTAGTACTGCGCACGCGTGAGTACGATACTATGCTATTTTTAGGATCATTTCGGGAGAGTGACCTGTCACGTGCGAGGGATCAACCAATAATAGGGAAATAGGGGTCCGATTTTCATAGGAGTCGGATTTTCATGTGACACCGGCCACAATTGCAACCTGGGGACCAGTTGTTTGTACTTGAAACCTCAATCTCCTCAACCGGATAAAATATTTATGAGAAGCAATCTGACGTACGATACATGTATGATGTCCTCCACAATTGTCATTTCAAAGAGAACAAACTCAGCTGATTCAATAGGTAGCGGAGGTTCATACCTGACACGCATAGTCACTTTTGCCAAATAATACTATATGTTGAAGTACAATTTCTTTGGGAGTTCCAAAAATGAAGGAGGGTTTGGAAAAGAATAATGTAAGTACACTTAAAGGATAATGTTTCGTCACCGACACCACGAAGTAACACCCATCTACATACCAGTAAAAACTAGCAATCGGAGAAAACGGCAACTAAAGTTGAACGCCTTCTAAAACAACACTTTGCGTCAAAACGACAGAGTATTTTCAGTTGGGTTTTCGTTGTGGACACTTGATGAATTGAATTTATTAAATCTGCTGTTTTTCACTCGTTTGTGTATTAAATAAACAAGAAATAAGAGAAAAAAGATGAGTGTTAGTTCGTGAAACCGAAAAAGCTGCGAAACTGTACATTTTCGTTTTCACGAAGTAACACTCTTCAATGTATTTAACACGAGGAAAGTGCAACTTCAGGTCAGCGCGCGCGCTCATACAACTTGTTACAAGAAGATACTTCGTGAAAACGTTTTTGCTCACTTATGAGCAGAGTGCGCGCCATGCATTGCAATGGAAAATGGAACTTGAGTGTTACTTCGTGAAAACGAAAATTGTCACTTTTGCGCAAAAGTTGCCATGGCCATAATAATTACGCTAAGTATCCATGCATGGATACTTAGCGTAATTATTAAAGTAAAGCTCTTTAAGCTTTGAAACTTCGTGCAATGGTAGGCCTTGATGAATAATGTTTAAAAATCCAAAAAACTGAAAATCGAAAAAAATATGCTTTAATACGGTAGAGTGTTATTATACTTCGTGGTGTCGATGACGGTTTGTACACTTAAAGATAATTAAAAACAAAATACCAGCTTACAGTGGGCCGCGAATTAAGTTACCTGTACCGGTATGTGGGTTGTTTCCACTTTACTTGGAATAACACATGGTTTTGAACAATCCATTCAATTGAAGAATAGAAAGATGTCTAATTGTGTTCCAACATAATAAAAAATCTTTCTCGTCGTATTAGTTATCACTGTTCAAACTCCACGCAATGAAGAGAATAAAAGTTTCAAACGAGGAACAGTTGTCATCTGTGTGCATTTTTGTAAATTTTTACTGGATCAGTAGGCCCTACTGTAAACTTTCAAGATTACTGTAAATTTAGCTGTAAATTACTGTTAATTACTTAACAGGATGATCACCACTACTGTACAAATTATACAGTACTTTACCGTGATCATTTTACAGTAGCACTGCTCTTGTTGTAAAAAAATACAGTAATTTACTATTTTATTTAAATACAGTATGATAATATTTACTGTAAAATTTACAGTAAACGGCTGGCAACTCAGCTGCCGGTAAATTACTGTAATTTTTACAGTTAATTTTTTTTACAGTGTAATCGTGACGCGACGCGCGGCGTTAGAGATGATGTGCCGTGAGTGACCCTGAGCAGCCGTGGTAATGTCTTGCACTCGTATTGAGAAACTGTAGATCACTATCGGACCATGGAGCTAGAAAATAGCTCCACTATATGACCCACTCATATTCCCGTGCAACAGTAGCAAATTATACAAAGTACAGGACTGGGAAAACTTGTGTTCCTCTACAAACGACAGGTACATTCGAGTTAGACAAATTTACAGCAAAAGTTTCAGCTTGGATGGTATGACGGTAGAGGGCAGTAGACAGATCCAGCGCCCTCAGCCTCAGTGATAGAGCGCTAGTGGTCTTCACTCGTACCCACCGCCCTGGGCCCAATTTCACGGCGCTGCTAAGCACAAAACTAAGCAGGTTACCAGCCAAAACTCCATGTGATTTTCATGCTAAGCAAACAACAGCTGAATACTAAATACGAGCAATATACATGTACATCACGTGGAGTTTTGACTGGTAACCTGCTTTTATAAGCCAGACTACTTTTGTGGTAAGCAAATTTTTGTGCTTAGCAGTGCCGTGAAATTGGGCCTAGGGCGCTGGGATACGCTGATGAGCTGCACAGAATCTTGTGAAAGAAGTGGCCTTTCACATATAAAGCATCTGGCTGCAGCTGTTTAAGACCGCAGTTAGCCAAAGCGCGCAAATGCTATCCGAAAACTTTCCCTTTAAAATGCGCACATTCCATACCGGATGTGATTTCTGTTTCATTTTGGACCATGTGGACACATTTTGAGCGTCGCATGCAATCGGACCCATCGTGAATTCGAAACGGAGCCTGAGCAATTGACGAGAATTGAAATTTTACAAAACAGATTTTCCTGCATTATTGCGCTTTTCAACGAAATAAAGCATTTATGAATCGGAATAAAACGGCCGTTTCAAACCTTGCCGAGTCGTGGCCGTGCTGACGTGCAGGTTACAGGTCACGCAAAATCCATCCAATCAGAGCGTGAATTCATCAGCGTATCCCAGCGTCCTGTTTGCAGGGCGGGGGTACGAGCGAATAGTTGATCATGCTAGATGACAGGGGGCGCTTGTTAAGTCGAACGGAACTTTGCAATTCACATGCGTCCGAAGTCTTTTTTTGTCGGAAAGATGTTCCAATCATAAATGTATTTAGGCCATGTGGCATTCGGCAATTGCAACAATAATGTTGCCGCCGCTTTAAATTTTGATAGGATGATCCTCTGCCATTTTTACATCCATGAAAAATCAAACTGTAGCCTACATATCTAGGGGCGATGAAGATAATATTGCCATTGACGTCATGATGAGTCAGTGAAACAACACATATAATTACAGCGCGGGCGGACGGGACAACGCATACACCGCGTACAGAAGACTTACTCAACAGACACTTAGTACAAACGTGTTTCTCATGAAACAAAAATTAGGCTGAAACATTCATATGTGATTTTCTTGGTTGCAAGTGGCCGAATTTATACTACACGGCAGTTTGTTTCTGGGGAATCCGTTCGCTGTTACTAATCTACAGAGACATGGGCCATGATCGTAACTGCTTCAAAACTTCCTTCGTATCATTCATAAGTTGCTTATGGCTGATTGTCTCCTTCGATGCGCATTCAGTTTTTGCTCAAGCCACTGCTCCCATGCCGAAGCAACTACCGAGTGTGTTTACTACCGGGCAAACTCTTAACAGACTGCGGAATATCTTATGCAAGAGGTAAGTCATTATCAGTCGTTCTTGCATTGACTTTCCTAGTAGGATATCATCGTTAAAATAACTTCAACCGCAGTCCACGCTTAAACCACATTCGTGCAGTGGGTTGATTTTGGGTTTGAGCCAATTTCATTCTTAGCGATGATTCTTTAAAGTGAAGATACATCATTTGCAAACATCACAAAACGAAATGATCACTTGAAATTATCATGAAATACCTTTCTGGCTTGATAGGGAATGACAGTCTAAAGCACCCTGTAAAATCGTGGCTCCTGGTGTGCTGTCATTTTCAAGAAAAAAAAAATTGCATTTTTCCAACGCTGGTCGACCGACCAGCGTTGGAGAAAACTGTTTTTTTTTTCTTCAAAAACTGCTCCTAATTTTTCATAATTAGGTATTTCATGTTTTCTTTACAATTGATAACATACATGTGAAGGTTTTTTGGGCAACATTTTCTCACTGCGTTCCCAACTTATTAATATCGCTAGCCGTTTCTTCCACGCCATGGACTAATTAAACAAGTTGCAAAAACGGTCGATCATTTTAGGATTTCTCATTTTTCTGAACCTACGAATTTAAGCGACCACACTGCGTGTTTGACATCTCATGGGAGATGTTCCCTGATTTGCGGAAATCCTTGATAATTGAGCTAATTCCACAGATATCCGGTCGGGCGGATTGATGATCATCATGTATTGCTACAATAAAATGCACACCATGATTAACTTCATAACAAGAAAACAAACTATTTCATAATTATTTTCTGATATACTTGTGTTATTGCAACGAAAGGAGAAGCAGTGATTTTGAATATTTTTTTTACGTATTTGTAGTTGCAGCCATCAAGGGCGCAATCGACAGTGTCGAGAATATGGACAGCAAGACGTGTGTTACTTGCTATGCGGATGTGGCAATTATGGCAAATGTCTAGCTGAAGGGTCCTGCACATGCCCCCTGATCCCCGAGGAAGGTAGGACGTCAGTAGACTTTCCTGTTTTATTTTTGTCCAAGGAACATGACCTGCTTCTCTGTTGGAGTAAAGGAACTCATTATGCTGAATTGTTCATGACGATGTCGATACTTTAAGACTATTAATGATGACAACGCCGATAACTTTGATAATGATAACCATGCCGACGGTGATAATTGTGAAAAAAATAACACATTTATTTCGATTTCATTTTATTATCATCCATGTAAGGTTGTCCACTGAGTCAAACTCTGTGCCTGTTCGACGATGCTTCAATATGCTCAACCGAAAACGATATATGTCTGTACTATGATGAGAGGAAAATTCGCTGTGAATGCCGAGATGGGTGGATCGGTGAGAACTGTCAAACATGCAGTGACGAATCGACAAGGTAAGAAAAGCCTCAAATACATGTCATTGAGTGCGTTGGTTTTAAAGGTTATTGCTTTACCTTGACCTATACTTAATTAAATAGCAGATTTGGATATCGACCTCACGCAGGCAAACTCACCGTCGTTCTTACTCAAGTTACGCAGGGGAGTGGCAGGGGAGGGGCGGGTAATGAGAGGGGAGCGCACGTAGCTTTGAAAGAAGGCAAATGTTTCAGGGTTGCATTTTTTGGGGTCACCCTGTATAATCGTTCTTGTTTTTTTACTTGTTTCAAATCTAGCTGCAAGTTGGATGAAGAGTCCTTGGACCCTCCAGTTTCTGGATCCGAGCTGACCATCAAGGTGCTTGTTATAGCTTGTGCTGGCTGTCTGATCCTGGGGATCATAATCGGTGTCTTCTGCATGTGTCGAACAGGAAAACTTGTGTGTATTACAACATCAAGGTGAGAACTCAATTCCCAAATAGAATCTCTTTGGTATGGGCTTTATGCACGAGGCACCCATTTTTGTCGAGTTTCCTGAATGTATTTCATAAATTGTTTACTGTTGAATGGGAATGCACCAGACTATTTATTGCGGCATAATGCAGCCTTATTTCACTATTATTTTTTTTTAATCTGGCTTTCTACATTAGGAAATGTTTAAGAAATTACTCATTGGAGCAGACTGGAATTAATTAGTCATTACCTTGTTTGCATTTAAGCAAGTTCCAAAAATTAAGCTTTTACCAAACTTTCAATTTAATGTGGCTGACTCGTGCATATGGCCCATTATATCCTCATGCGATGCGATCCTTGGCTGAATGTTTATCTTCTAAACAAAATACTGTTTTTGTATAAAAGTTGAACTCCATCAAATCCACCCTTCTTTATCAACCATTAACATGGTGCAACTGATTAATTTACAACTACATTTTGCATTATAACTGCAAACTACAGTGCCTTACTATCACTAGGTCTATCACAAACTGTCCTCTGATCGGTATAACAAAACTGAATTCATCTGGAAAGTATACCCAATGTACTTTTTTTCACTATCTCATTTTTTTAGCAGGGTTGAAAATCGAGTGGAAAATTTTAGGAAAGACGAAACTCAAGAACGGAATCTGAATCGGCCAGTTACAAGGCAACACTCGGATCATGCTTATTGTCATGTCATCCAGTACGCTGTTCCCGAAACGCCTACCAGTCAACCAATTTCAGAGACATCACAAGATGCGGGATACGCAGAACTTAATATCACTCGGCACAGAAAGTCGGAGGGCATCTACTACTTCAAACTAGAGTCACCCTCTTCCGGTGCCACTTACGAAAGTGTTAAGAAAAGTAGTTCGGCTGTTACCCCATTTCACAATGTCAAGGACGACGCATCATCGATTGACGTCATGAACAAAGAACTGGACAAAAAGTCCGGAAACAGGGAATTTAAAGGTAATCCATGGTCTTCTGACGAATACGATCATCTACAGCGACAAGTGGATGTTAATATTAGCGAGACTTCCAAGAACTACAGTCACCTAGCGCTTCAGGAGTTCCTCTAAACTGCTCGACTCTGTCAAAAAGAAAATTGTTTCTTGTCTCGCTCAAATATAAATAATTGCCTTTATTTTTTTTTATCCTGTAGCTTGGTCGTGATTTATATAGTAAAACTTCGTTTTTGGTGTCCAGTCTCTATCAATTATTTTATCTATAATTTGTGTAGACAATCACACGGTCATGGGTCAGTACACTAAAAAAATTGCCTGGAATAATTTAACCCAAGAAAGGGTGAAAACTGCAACTACCCAAAATTGGGTTGTTCTTTACCCAATTGTTTGGGTTAGAATTTCTGTTAAATTGGTTATAAAACAACCCAAGTTTGGGTAGTTGCAGTTTTCACCCTTTCTTGTGTAAAATTAACCCAGGCAATTTTTCAGTGTAACTATATAGGGGAAATAAAGCAACAGTAAAATCCATAATTACAGTTACTGGCAAGGCATTTAATTTAGCCGAATTTTATTCGTACGGAAATGGCATAATATTAAAGTTTTACTTTGTGCGCATATAAGTTAAGTATTGTGCTTCCTGTTATTTAACTTTTATAACATTATACCCCTTATATTTCATGTGCTCCATTGTTCTTCTTGGTGATAAAGTTGGTCTTTTGGTGTAATAACTAAAAGAATAAATAAGGGGTATAATAACAAGTGCATGATGTGAACAGTGCTTCCCAAATCCTTCTCAGTCATATACTTTTCCAAACAAACAAATATTCGGTAATTATCTATTTTCGGCAAGTTTTGATACATTGAAACAAAAATAACGACATATAATATATAGTATAGTATATATGGAATATCTTATACTCTCAAACCCATATGGTTGTACAATATTATGCTGTTGAGTTGCATCGTTTCAGAATGATCTTCATTTTCACTGTTCATTTCATTGTTCATTTTCACTATTCATATAATACCTTTATAAAAATATAACCTGCATAAATTAAAACCTATCATTTTAATATAATGAAAAAAACGCCCAGCTGCAATGACATGAATAATAAAAATACATATCATTTAAATTAAAAGCTTTGGTCTTGTTTTCATCGTTATCTGCTCGTTATACTGCATCCAAATGAATATGAATCCATAAATGGCCAACACAGCGAATCCTGAGTTAGCACAAATAGGCCTACATTCACAGAGTAATACACGACCAGCCTGTTTCCTGTGATTGACTAAGCGGCTGTCTCACTGAGAATACTTGTACATGTACATATATATGAGACTCTCCGATCCAGCTACTTTTTAGGCAAGTTGAATGGGTCATGAAGTTACTTTTGCTCAGGAACACATAGTGTGCATCTTTCTACTCCTCTAAAATATATGAAAACTATTTGGCATACTTTTTGGTTAATTTTACGGAAAGGTGTATTTTTTTAAACAATTATAATTGTCCATTCTTTTCTGGAAAACTGAAGGCGCTGTTTGCTGTGATGTCATTTCAGGAAGACACCGTCCAGTTTTGGTTGTTTGTGTTCAAGTTGTTGAACCCAAACATTTGTTGAAAACATCTGTGAGAAAAGTTTGCTCATTGGCTTATTGCCATGTAATGACACAACAACGAATCGCCAAAGAAAAGTTTACGACAGCAAAACATCCTAAACTCTGGCAACTTTGATGATCCAATAGTTGTAATGCGGATTCTGCCTTAAATGACATCACACATTTGTTCATGAATATGGAAATTGGCATCAGCATAAAAACAAGAACGCACAAAAAATGCCCTTGAAAATGGCAAGCGATAATTGAAAATAAGGTTAAATGCGACACAAAGGTGCATTTTTAAGGACTGCATAAAAACAATTACATTGCATGGCCCCTTTAAGCATTATACTAACGAGCGTCGAGTTGGGGGTATCAAGACCCCAATATCTGAAGAATCAAGATTCAACATCCGTGGTGTTGCATCTTAATTCTTCAGATATTAAGAGTTCTTAGGAGGACAATTAATGGATTTCGCTGGACAAACCGATTCACTGTGCCTTAGTTAACCCGGATGGTTATCTGCAGTTGGCACCACGGGAGGCGACTGTGAGCAACATCCAGGGAAAGGAATCTGCGCACACTTACCCTGAGGTCCGATGACACGACACACAGACAGGAAGAAGAATGTTGCAAAGACCCAACTCACTGCCATGACTAACATCAGAAAGATACCGAGTTGGATGTATGTGATCACACTGGAAGGCATCATCATAGCACCTGCAACAAAGGTTGACAGAGCAGCAACAGTGATAGCCGAGCTTACTGTAGTCAGTGATGTCATGGTCCTATCTTTCCTCGAACGAGACGGAGCTAAGCGGTAAGCAACACCATAATGAATCGTGAAATCTACCGACAAACCCACAGCTAAGGACAAGATAGCCGACTCAAAGATGTTAAGGCGCCAGTCTAGCAGTACAAGAGTACCAACAGTGACGCAGAAAGCACCTGCTATCGATAGCATGGCATAGAGGGATATCAAGAGATTCCAAGTAGTAAGAAGAAGCACTACGGCCGCAATGGCTAACGATAAACCCATGGATATAGGCGTGTCCCTTGCCAAACTTCTCTGAAGATTGTAGAAGTAGAGTTGTTGGCCACCGCTGTTACTTCCAGCGTACAACCACCCTCCTGTGATTTCTGCAGGCTTGTTGGTCAGATTCTTGTCAAACCATTTATTGACCTCAGTCCAAAATTCGTCAATGGAGTTGAAGTCCATTGTGTCCATCCTAGAGCTGACGTCATACATCATAAAGCCTCGAATGGAACCATCTAAGCGACTGAATAAGGGCCCTGGATACAACCCATAGTCATAACAAGGTGATGTAGCAGCATCACATCTGCGACTTGCCTTGAGACAAGTCTCGCAGAGGTCGGCAGAATACGGAAAGACAGTCTGCCCACAGCAAGGACGTGTGACGTCACTGCAAGGAGTTCCCATCAATCTCCGGAAAGAATCCATGAAACATTCATGCGATTCAGATTCACTACCGTAGAAGCCTTGCTCACGAAAATTATGGCAAAATTCAAATAGCCACTCTTGTGCCTTGGGGTGAAACATGTTGAAGTTCTGTTTGAGAACCACACTACCGTAGTCATCTGGATTCCAATGATCGCCGTTGTCAAGGGCATCGACTCCGAATACAATGGAGATAAAGAGAGGATCGGTTTCCTCAATGTTGAAATAAAACTGGGATTTGTATACGTTATCATACAATTCAAATAAATTACTGTCTTGAAAGACTTGGAATTCTGCTGAGGTCGGTAGGCGTAACTTTGGAGTAATATACACGATACAAAACGCCCCGACGCCAAGAGAAGCTAACATGACTATCCATACATACCTTAGATTAATCACTAGTAGCGGTAGGTAGTGATCGAAAACTCTGCGATAGGCCGCAGCAACCCGTGAATGTGCAGCATGAAGTTTCCTTAAGAACCCAGGACATGGACAAGTTACTGTTGCACACCAATCCTGAAAACGTGAGTGAATGACAACAGTGGCTGGCAACCAGGTCAATGTGAACAGAAAATTGATCAAGATTGCTGTGCCGCCGTACACACCAAAGCATCTCACGGCAGTAATTGAACTTACCACACCACAAAACAGTGCTGACGCGGTCGTGAAACTTGTAACAAACATAGTGACTGCGGCATGATGCAAGGTTTTCCTTAGGATGACGCTTGGGGGCGCTTTTGGATGACTTGACTTCATCAGGCTCCATATATCCACATAAACAAACATATCATCAGCACCAATACCAATCATTAAAACAGCACTAGCTATGTTCACAAATGGAAAAAGGGAAGCCTGTATACTACAACAAAAGCGAAATACGCCACGATCAAAGACATAAGCATACTCAAAATAGTCATGACTGTAATAAGAAGTGAGCCGGTGTACACCCACATAATGACAAACACGAAACATGCGCCTAGCCCAATATACAATGTATCTAAAAGAAGGTAATCACTGAATAGGGCAAATTTCAGCGAACCAAATCCCAATGCCACCACAGCCGTTACTCCGTCATTAATGTGCTTGCCCTCCAGCCCTGCCTCATAGATGTCACGTTTGTAACCCAAATATGGGACAAATAAGATAGTAGAGCTAAGATCAAAGTGTCCCGCATTAGCGTTTTCCGCAAACGTAGCCGGAACCAAATAGTGAAAAATAAAGTAAACCGCATGGTTGAAGGACAAGCATTCTGTGGGGACATCTGGAGGGCAGTTTCCCTCCTGACAATACTTGAGTGCATTCTGTCGGTAGTAAGGAGCGCATTTCTTCAATAACGTCTTCACATTTGAGACATCCGAGTCCTGAATATCTTGACATGATTCTCTTCCGTTCAGTAGGGCTATGTAATGACCAAGCGACATGCTATCCGAGCAATCCCCGTTAGATATTCTACAGCAATAGTCTTGCATCTCAGGTGTACTACCAATGTTGTCGTCGTATTGGGTGCAGATGGATATCAACGCTTCACGTGTGAACAATTTGTGATCGCCGATAGCTTCAAAAACTACCGCTGGTTGACCATACGAACCACCTACAGAGAGAAAAAAATCCTCGATAAAAGCAAAGTTGTAACGAGTCACCTGATTATCAGGTGACTCGACTCGAGTCGAGTCATTCTTAAAGAAGTGACTCGAGTCGAGTCGAGTCATTAGGTCAAGAGGGTCGAGTCGAGTCGAGTCAAGAATTTAGCTCTAGTCAATTCGAATCACAAATATTTAGATACTCAACAATAAATAAACACAGAAGAAAAGTCTTCTTTTTTTTAAATTTTACATTCGGGCTACTACATGTGGTGACACCACATTATTTTGATGACCGACATTCAACTTACGGGGACACTGATCAAACTATGTGTGTATATGTATGGATTATTCGCGAACATCCTAACGTGACTTGAACAAAAACCAGCATCGTTGTAAGGCATTGCAACTATTTTTTTCGCAATGCTTTGCTTTTAGTAATTTTGTGGGACCCGGATCTTATTAGTCTTCTTTGAGTCGAGTCTTCTGATATATGAGGGACTTGCGAGTCGAGTGGAGTCATTTGTTTACAGTGACTCGAGTTGAGTTGAGTCATTTGCCCTCAGGGACTTGAGTCGAGTCGGGCCACCAAAAATTGTGACTCCAGTCGAACTCGAGTCGAGTCACTGACTCGAGTCATTAAAACTCTGCCGATAAGTTGTAGTAAGTTTGCAA